ATAGGACTTGATTCTCTGTCTTTTTTGTACCACATTTTTTCATTGCTATAGGAGATCTAATTTGTCTTCCCATCAATGCACTTTGCACTCTACCCACATATGGAACAGTTCTAAAACTCATTAATAGTCTCAGTAGTTAACTATCTATGGTGTCTCTGGATAGGGAAAATGCCTTCAACCTCATTTCCACTGTCTGCACCATTTTCTCTGCAATTTCATTTGATTACAGGTGGTATGGTGGTGTTTTATAAGGGAGACATCCAATTTGATTTAACCATGAACTTCCCTTCATCACAAAATTTTGGCACATTGTCAGTTTTTTGCACCAAATTTCTGGAAAATATTACTTGTAAAATTTGCTTTACTGTGGCTGCCTTCCTATCCTGAACCCTAGCAACTTCAGGCCATCTAGAGAATTAGTTGAAATAGTCCTATACCTTTAACATGATCCATATGAACACAGACACATGGATTTTTTTCTTTAGGCACTGAGTACATCTTTGTTTGCCAAGTTTTTAATTCTATACATTTTGGGCATTTTTGTACATATTTTTCTACATTACATGAGTACCAAGACCACTACACTTCTAACTTTAATCGTCTCTGTGTTGCTGTTATTCCACAATAAACATTATCATGTACACTTATTATTATGTCTTTTCTTATTCTATCTGGCGATATTAAAATATCTCTATTGAATGTAAGACCCTTCTCTATCATTAACTTGTGCTTTATCTCTTTTTGGAGTTTCTCTGCCCCAGAACAATCACTCCATTTGCTTCTTTTTATTCTGTATGCAATTTTACTTAATATTGGATCCTGTAACATTTCAAATGCAAAACAATTTAGGGATAATACATCAGTTTCAATCAAGTGCAATATTTAAAATTGCAATCCGGTGCAATATTTTGAATTGTCTGATCTTTCTAATCTTTGTTGAATTTTAGTCTTGACAGAGCATCAACATGTGGAATAGTGTTTCCTTTCACATATTTAATATTGAAGTCAAAGGCCATGACCTTTATGGCCCATCTTGAAATTCTAGATTTTCTGGGATTAAAAATAACTCTAAAGGTTTATAATCAGATTTTAACAAAAAACCTCTTACCTAACAAAAATTAGCAAACTCTATCTCTGCTCCATACGATAACTAATGCTTCTTTTTCAATGTTTGAATAGTTAGCTTCGGCTGACATTCATCTTCTAGAAAGATACATTATAGGGCGACCTTCTTGGGATAAAACCACTAATATAGCACACTCACTTGTGTCTGTAGTTAAAGTCACTTACTGTTTAGAGTAAAAAATATTTACAACAGGTTTTTAAATATCTGCTATAAAAATTGGCTAACCCTAAATAAAATTCAAATACTTTTTTATTTGTGGGTGTAAATACCTCCAGTATTTTCAAATTTTTGTCTGGTGAAATTGGTCTTTAGAAATCTGATATCCCAGATATGCTATTGTGTCACAATTTAATAAACATTTACCCTTGTTTATGGTAATCCCAGCATTTTTCAGTTTGTTTAAAACAATCTATTTTTTGTTTTAACTTTTTTTATGGGAAGGAGTGATGTATATATCATCTTGATAAATGATCACATTTTTAATATCAACAGTTAGAACATTTTCAATTGCTCTCTGAAAAATAGCATTTGCTGTTTTTATACCAGAAGGCATACAATTCAATCTGAGTAAACCTATTTGAGAGTTAATCATAGTAGCTTCTTTAAATTTTTTTATCAATTTGTATCTGGTTAGAGGCAGATTTGAGGTAAATTTTGGCACAGTATTTAATTCCTGACAACACATGAATAGAAGTTTAAATGTTAGGAATAGGGAATAAATCAGAGTATATTTTTGGTTTACAACTATTTTGAAATCCCCACATATCTTTAAATCTCCATCCAGTTTTTGTAAAATGACAATGGGTGAGGCCCAATTACTACCACTGGGGAAACAGGCTCTAAAATTCCTTGCTTCACCATTGTTTTTAGTTTAGCAACTACTAAATGTGAATGGGCAGTTTGCAAGATTCAAAGTAAAAAGGGTGATTATTTTCTTTTAATGTTCGCTTTGTATCCTTTTAACATTCCTGTCTCAGTTCTTTCTGACTTCCCAGTGTTGATTAATTTTACTGTATTAACTTTTAAGACATCAATTCCCAATAGTCTATGACTTTTTTTAGCATTTCACTACCATAATGGGAATAATTTCACAGCAGTTGTTGGTCTTGAAAGTTCCCTCAAAATAATCTAGCATTTTGATGAGAGAGCCATCAAACTGTCTTAGTTTCAGATAACTTTATTTAATTTGAGATTGCCTATTTGTTCCCAGAAATTTTTGGGGGTTATAGTGACATCACTCCCAATATGTACTTTTTTTTAAGCATTTCACCCCAAGGAAGGTGAGAGTGTCACTAGCATGCAGGGGGTTACAGAGAGTGAATATGAGGGAAAAATGGTGTATAGAAGAGATTGAGGAAAAAATAAAAGAAGAATGGGGATCAAGGGAACAGAAGATGGCAACTGATGTTGTATTTAAATTTTTGAACATTGTAGTTATCAGGGAAGCAACAAGAGGAGAGGAGTTCCACTGTTGGGAAGTGTGAAAAAAAGAAACTGCTAGAGTAGAAGTGGCAGTTGCATTTAACTATTTCAACAGTAAAAGGGTGGGACCTAGATGCCAATCTAGTAGCATGCTTAAATTCATGTAGTCAGGGCATCAGGGAAGATATCTCATCAGAACAATTACCATGAAAATATTTGTAGAAAAGACAGAGGAAAGCCATTTCACATCTATGAGAAAGTGACTGAAGTTGAGATGTCAAGTCAGGACCAATTACATTATAGATCCTTTTGTTGAGAACATTGAGGTGAACAGCAGGGGCACTAGACTAGATATGGCAGCAATATTCAATGCATGAATGAATGGTAGATTTGTAGATGTGTAAGATGTACTCTGACAAGAATAACCTTCTGACACAACTTTCCTTGCAGAAGATGCAGCTATTGATTCAATGTAGTTGTTCCACCTCAAGTCATTGGAAAATATGAGGCCAAGAAGGTGCATGGAGATGAGTATCAGCCATGCCAATGAGGGACAGGAAAATTTCTTTGTGGCAGTTAAATGAGAGCAATTTAGTTTTGGAGGCATTAAAGTTTACAAGCCATTTACTGCTCCAGTTCAAGATCAGTGCCAAGGTTAACTTTGTCAGCATTGCTGTGTTTACTATTGAGACAGGAGTAAAGAGTAGTGTCATCTGCATAAATGACTATTTGAGAACTGATGACATCAGGAAGATCAGAAACAATGGGGAACTCCTGTATTCATATGGAAGGAATTGGAAGAGAACCTGTTCAGAATGACGTTCATTTCATGATTTGATAGAAATAATTGGATATAATAATAGTTCTGTAATACTGTGACCCTGAAGCTTACATAGAAGACTAAAATTCCAAACCCTGTCAAACGCCTTTGAGATATCTAGAGCCACAGTTTGAGCTTTACTGTTATTATCAAGAGCTTGATATACATATTCAGTTATAGCTGTAAGGACATTAGTGGTAGACCAGCAAAATGTAATCCATATTTTTTGTCAGAGAGTAGGTCATGAGAGGTAAGATGCTTAACCACTTCAGCATTGATTAAAGCCTTAAAGGCTATGCTGAAAGTTGGTAGGAGACTGATAGGCCTGTAGTTAAATGGGTCAGAAGTTTCTCCAGAGTTCTTAAAAACAAGGACGACAGAGGAGGACTTCCAACAATCTGGAAAGCAGAAAGACACTAGTTGTATAGTTTGGAGAGAACTTGTACTTGTATAGGAAAAGTTATACCACTTAATTTAATTTTTTCTCTGTCATTTTTTTTCTTGTATCACATATAAAGATATATTTTCCTGAAGAGTTTTTAAATTTTCCACCCTATTTTCTTTTTAAAATTGCCAATGGACTGGAAGTGATCTCTTCTTACAATTTCAGCATATTTGTCCTAAAGCTGGACATTTTTTCTTGTCCCATCCATGTTCTTCATTGCAGTACTTGCATTATATAACATGGCTTGATACTTCAGCATTGGCCTTTGATATATTGAATTTATCAATTAATTTTAATTGTTGCAGAAACTCTACACATGCATCTAAGGACATTTTATTCAATTGTAATTGTTCTACAAAGCATCAAACATACCTTCTATTAATCTCAACTGTATTAAATTCTCTTTTATGGTCATTTCTCCCATGCCAAGTTTTTCAAACTCACAGAATCTGGAGGACATTTGTAACTTCTTTTTTTTACAGTAATCTGAAATTTATGAAAACGTTAAATCCTTTAATTCTTTGGGATATGGTGGAGATCTTTCTAATGGCATCACAGCCTGCCCAAAGCCAAAAAGAGATTTGTAGTCTTATTCTCTCCTCCTGCAATTTTGTTATCTTTTAACTCCTTGGCCCTCACTTGGGCTGCAAAACAATGAATCCATGTCTACAAAATCCTGTTCATTCCACAGTGTTATAGATCCTATTGGTGATGCCATATTGTTGTGTCGTCTTCCAGCCTGTAACATAGTAAGAATTGTCCTTTCATATCAACTGACAACTGATTTATTTGTAGTCATTTGACTTTATGCACAATAGGGCAAGTTCATTTTACATATCTCATTACAGAAAGAAACTTTGAGAAGGAAATACAGAACTTTAAATAAAGTTGAAAATATTCTTCTAAAAAAGGTGCACCTACCTAATAAAAAGGTGAAAAAATAGGAGGACACTTGGGCAAAACTGCCATGTGTCACTGGGACTTTTAAGAATATTTTTCTTCTTGAAAACAATTCTATTCACATTAGCCTTTCTTTATGGAACCTTATTTTTATGCATTCAGGACAAAATTTTCATGTCTTCTCTATCTTCTGGTTGAAAATTAGGTTACTTTCTGTGCGAAATTTTTTTTACCTTGTTCTTTGAAAATTTCTGTGCCTCCTTCTATCTTCTTCATCAACACTGACAATGGTGGTATGTCATTATCACCCCAGGACACCATGTGGTCCATTTCTTTTCTTAACAGTAGACTTTATGCATGGAGACAGTCAAGTTTTTATGCCTGATGAAAGCATATTGTCCAAGTCAGCTAATCTCTTCTCTGCAGCAGCAAAGGTGGTAACAGCAGCCTACATCGGTATACATCTTTCTGGTCTAAAATTTAACTACTGTCTGTTGTTATCTGTTGACCCTTCTTTTTATATATCATCCAAAGAGGCTCCAAACTGATCTTAACTTTAAATATATGTGGGTAGAAGCCACCCTTTTGATTGGACAATAAATACAAAGCATATATATTTTTCAAGTTTGAAAAATGAATCACCAACAGTCTACCAAGACCGTGTGATTAGGTGCCTGGAAGAGGGTCGATCTTCCGGGGCCCTTCATTTGGACAGACGGTCCTGTCCACATACTTGGAGTGTGGTTTGGACCTGACCTCCAGCTGGAGAAAAATTGGTCTGAAGTATGAGCAAAGGTCGATGTGGCCAGTTAGACTTGGCGTCGACAGAGGTTGTCTGTGAAGGGCTCGGGCAGAGGCGTGTGCCACTTATGTTTTCCCAATTGTTTTTTATTAATTGTCCGTACTTCCTCTCTGTAAAGACGAGCACTCGCTATCCTCCATTTTATGGAGAGGACACAAGCATCAGGTCGACAGACGTGTCTGTGCACAACATCCGTGTCATGAATGCCACACTTGGTGAGCCACAAATTCACCTCGAGGTTGGCTTTCCTATGCCACGCATTGACAGGAGATTCGATTATGGCGGGGATTGTTAGGGACACATTCCCTTTCCTTACTATCAATCCCCCTATCTTGCGGGTTGAGCATGATCATAAACCCTGGGATCAATTGGACTTCCTTTGCAAGTGTTGGTCAGCCTTTTTGGCTGTTCCTCAGTCCAGTGTCCTTTCTCAGCCTAGGAAGGTCTTCTATCATCATCTAGTGGAGAGAGTCGCGAAAGATCCTCTACGTGAGCAGCTTGACTTGTCAGAGGAGGAGTTTTGCTCTTTCTGTTCTTGTGCGCCAGCAGCGGATTATCTCAGTAACCCTGAGTTTTCACTTACCTGGCAATTGGCTTGGAATCGGCTGCCTCTCAATGACAAGGTCTTCATATGGGACTTGGCGGATTTGCCAGACTGTGAACAGTGTAGCCTTGGTCTAGAAGAAACGTCTTTGCACGCCTTCTACCATTATCCTCGGGTCTGCCCCTTATGGGACCATGTCAGCAAGTTGATGGCTCGTCTCACTACTGAAAAGCTTGTGTTCATCGATTGTGCATATGCATGTGACAATGTGTCACATATTTGGTTATGATCCAGGTTGAGATTCCCAACCTCCCCAGTTTGTTTTGGCCCCCTTTTATCTCGACTGGGTCAGCTTTTTATTTCCCCATGTCTGTATAATTTTTTATCCTTTTCCCCACTCCCTTAGCGAGAGAACCTCTTGATTTTGTCCAATGGGCAGAATACAGCGGCCTCTCCTTTTTGAGGGTTGGACTGGCCCTACTAACATCAGTTATGTTTAGTTAGTGTTGATTTTTAGTTTATTATTGGGTTCATCTCCCTCCCCTCTCATTCTCCATTATTAGATTTTCATGTATAATAATTTATAATCATTAAATTTTTATGGCATGGGTTGTGTTTTGTAGACCCCCCCTTTGAGCGGATGTGGTATTGTGGTGCATGGAGGATTGAATGGTGACGGACAAATTTTTATGGTGAATGTAGAAATTGTAATGAGTGAATGGGTCATGAATCAGATTAGCTAGGTATAGGATAGTTAGTGTCGACCAGTCTCAACCCCTCCCCTTTTTAGGCCATGTGCCACAATTGTATATTTCATACAATAAATATTCCAGTCTACCAAGACCGTTATTTCTGGTAGTAATTTTACAGCTAATTCTAAATATATAAATTTTTACAGACAAATGTAGCACATCAAATACAATTTTTTATAAATTGACTTTCTTTTAAATACACTTCTCTAAAAAGTAAGTGTAAAAGACAAACATAGGATATTATTATATTTATTTATCTACATGTTTTTATTATTTTATTTTATATTACTTCCTAATAGAACTTTTTTATACTATCTGTATTGTTAATAATACTTTAGTTGGAACTAAAAATCAGAGGTAAAAATCAATATCAATCTTTAAGTATAAACAAAACATTTAAAATTTTTATAATTTAATTAATGACTGTATTTTGAAATTAGTCCCTCAATTTCTTTTTTTTTAAAAAAGATAAGATTTATTGAGATCAGTATTTTTTTAAGTTTAAAGAAACTAGCTTCTTGTAAAGAGGCAGTTACTTTTTACCAAATTATGTCCATATGTACAATGTAAAGATAAATATTTTATTATGCAATTTTAAGAGGAACCTGTAAACCTTTTCTTAGTAAATATCTACATTATGCAATCTTCAGTATCTCAGGCATCACCTCATGAAATATATTGGGCATAGAAATTATGGTAGATTTGTCTGCAAACCAGTAACCACTTATTTAGGATGAAGATGTTTTATTCTTTTTGCAGGACAAAAATATCTTGTGAGATATTTACTAATTCCAAATGGCTGATTTTTATTTATTGTTTAGATTGTAATTTTAAATCTGTATTTTATTTTCTTAGCTTTGCTGGTGAAAAAACAGGAAGGATTAGAAATAAAAGTGAAACGATTTTTCAGTGCGTCCACTTCGCTACCAAATAACTCTTTCCTTGTGCCACATCTAAGCTACGCTTGGAAAATCACTAATTACAATAACTGACACTACTAACATCCAGGACTTGAGCTAAATATTAATTTCAAATTTCTCAGCAGAAGCCAATTATAGAAATTTAATTTATGAAGAATTACATTTGTTACAAATATTTAATAGACCAGTGGATTTCTCATTTTTTCACATTTTTAACAATAAAAAAGTCTCTAGTCTAAAAAAATTTTACCGTTGAATTGTGATTATCTTCTTCATAATGGATATATTATTGACTTACTTAATTATTTGTAAATAAATACAAAATGTGACACAAGGCCTAATGGAGAGGGCTGATCACTTTTTTTTTGTGCTACCATATTTTTTTAACATTACAAAATCAATTCCATTCGCACAATTATCGTTCCTTGAACCAAAATTTCACTTACATTTTATTTTCTCGTTGCCAGGCACCACAATCAATTTCTCTATGAATCAATATTGTACAATGACAACCCATTTGTAATGTACGATTAATTCGGCGGTGGTACAGTACAAAAAGAATAACCACATTTATTTATCCCTAATGATTTACAAAACCAAATAAAACGTCTGTTAATAAAGAACCCCACAACTCTAACTGCAAATATCACTTTTAGACGAAAGAAAATGCGGACATTAAAAAATAAATCACTCACTCACGCGTTTTCTCGTCCAAACTAACAATTACGAAAAAAGGATATTGGTCTATAATAGTAATACTAACTAAAACTTTTCATAAACTAATATTGTATTCTATTTTTAGTAACTAAAAGACTACAATAATGACTTATGTTGATAATTTAGTTCACTTCAATGTTACACAAAAATTTCAATTGATATTTTTAAAATTTAAGATTAATTTTGAATTTTCAACTTTTGAAATAAATGTTTTATTTTGATATACCTGATGGCTATTTAAATTTAATTTAGCTAATGTTTAATAATGTAAAGATTAATAGCTCTTCTTAATTGTTTTATTTAATTATTAATTGTTTTTTACTTTTTAGCTTTTTTAATTGGAACTACCCTACAAATAAATTTGAAGACTATTATTTTACTTTTAAAAAATCTGCCAAGGTCTCAAATTTTAAACTAGCATCTTTTGGTCTTTTCTGCTCAACAGAAAAATAAATTGTTGCTTCGGGGACTTTCGTTTTAAGATCGTTCCTTTGGCTTTAAGTGACATTTTTTTAAAGTTTTTATTTTAACAGTAGTTTCAATTGGTTAGCATAAAAAATATTTTTATTTTACATGATCAGTTGTGAGAAAATTCGAAATTTTTTAACGCATTATTTAAATATTAAAAGGATGTTTTAACTTTAAAATTTTCCATTTCTTTATAAGAAGAAGATTAAGAAGAAAGACTAAAAAAAAATTCTGTATGTAGCATTTTTTGGCGAATGCTGAAAAGTTCTTGGCTTGACCCATTCTCAAAAAAACCAAGCGACAGAAAATGTTCTTAGTCGAACCGAGAAAATTTTGTCGTAGTGAAGATGATAAATATTAAAATTATGATTGCGTTACTTACTATAATCAATGACCTACAAAGCTTAGTTTGTTTGTTTGTTTCTTTCTTTTTTTACAGAATTCGCCTTGTGACACTCCTACACCACTGGTGTGTTGCTGATTAGTCTGCTCTACATAGCATTGACTTTCTAAAACTAACAAACACAAGTACCTTCATTTCTTTGGTACCGTAAAAGCTGATTTAAAATTTGCATCTCCACTCCAGCTTTTCATCTTTTAGGTAAGTCGCAGGAAAATAATATCTGAAAAAGCAAAACATTCGTTTTTAACTTAAAAAACTAGTTCTGTTTTTATGAGTTTTCTGATTGTTTACTTTTTTTTTTAGCCTTTTTCGGAACTCCCACAAGTTTGAGATTTTATGCAATGTAACACGTTAGAAACTACCAAATTTAAATCTAGTTAAAATTTAACAGTTAAGTAACAAGTCTTGGTTTTATAAATTAAGTTTACTTTTTATTTTATTTAACGAAAGTAGAAAATTATGATTTAAAGGTCCTTAAAAGTAAAAAAGTGGTAATTTTGGGTCTTGGGTGCCGGAATGTCGCTACTAAAAAATAAAATTCACTGCAGGCAATATCTGAATATGAAATTAGATCTTTCTCTTTTATTCTACTAGTTATTTGATCTAATAATTAAACAAACAAAACAAGAAATAAAAAAAAAAAAAAAAAACGAACTTAAGTATTCAGCTCCCGCCATAATGTGGATTCATTCAGTTCAGTGTGTCTCCGGTCCGTTATTTATTTTAGTTATGAATTTTTAGTTTTCTTTGGCATATTGCATTTATTTCAATAATACATTTAGTCCTTTATTAAAAGAATAAAGAATATCTTTTAAAAGTGAAGGGGAGTTGTAGTTTGTTTTTTTTTACTTAAAAATACCGGTTTTACTTTTCTTTTTTTTTTACCTGATCTTGCCAATAAGGAAGCACTGCAACTAACTTTTTTCAACTGAGAGGCCAAATTTAACTCAAAGGAGTTGAAATAATTGTGACATTAACTGTTAATTGCCAAGTAAAATTGTAATAAAATATTCAAAATTTTCTAACCAAAACAGCGAGCGTGTAAATAAAGATTTCACTTCAGAAAAAAACAAAACACAAACTTCAAATATAATTATCAACAAATTTAAAATTATTAACGTCAAGCGATGTTAGTCTTCCATTTTTGAGCAGTGTACTGTAGACAGTGTAAAAAAAAAAAAAAGTAAAGTGTCTGTAAATATTAATAAGAAAATAATACTCAACAAGTGATTATATGTCACCTGTTGGAAAAGTAAAACTAAAACACATGTGAAGTGTGAAATACTGATGATACAGGATAAATAAAGTAATGAAGCCACGTTCCAATTTTACGAAAACTACACAAATTTCCGCAAAAAAATGAAAGTAGCATGAACAGAATTTTTAAAATTCTTCAGAATTACAGAGTAATGTTCTAGAAAAAAACTGAATGGACATGTTCATTTTCTGGTTTAAAAAAGATCGTAACTGATGCTAGTGTGCTCTGAATAGTTTTAAAAAGAAAAAGGCGCTATCCTACCAAATATAAGTTATTGTCAATTGATCGCTAAACTTGCCAACACATGATTTTTAAAAAATATTCTTCAGTTAGCTTATCAAAAGAAATTTGCCTAAGAAGATTAAGACAATTGTTTGTAATTAGCCCTTTCGGATTATAAAATGTGGCTACAACATTTCACTGCTTTGTGGACAAAAAATATTTCCCCATTAGGAACTTTTTAATTTAAATGATATCGTTGGATTTAGTGATGATGAAATTGAAACAGCATATAAATGAGTGATTGTTTAAAATGTTAGACATTGACCGTCAAAATAAAACATACTTTGTTGATTGTAGAATTTTTGTGATGTGAGTGCGTGCTGAACTTTTCCATACCAAGATTCTCTAAGAGTTTGGGTATGAGATGAATTTTTTTTTTTATTTGCAAAATTATTCCCAAATTATACTAGCTCTGTTTTACTTTTTAACACATGAAATTATTTCTCAACTGTTCTTTTGAACGATCTGATATTGAAAAAGACTTCTTTATTGTACAACTTTGTAATTAAACGTAACTACCTTAGTTCACTTGGCAACTGGACGTTTCTGACTATCATAGTATGCTATATTAGCAGTACATAAATGGGATACCCATTATTGTTTTTTTTAATTGAGACAAATTCAGGCACAATATTAGTTGCTAGCATTAGCAATACTTCACTTTTGCCACCTCATAAAGTTATATAATTTTATTGTCAAACCATAAACTGCAATGATCATTTTTCACTGTTTAAAACAAGCAAAATTAGATATCCCGCAATGACATCTGATATAAAATAGATTCATAAGGAGAATTTTGATCCAATTGCTGTTTTGAATTTGTATCTTTTAAAAACAGATAAATATGAGACTTTGCAAAAGACTATATAGTCAGTCAAGTCAAAAAAAGATATCAAAAGATCACTAAAGTTACTTGGTAGCTTCTCTAATTCAATACATTAATATACTTTTCTCCTGTAAACTAAATAACATTTACTGAAATGTATGAACCTTCCCCATATTAGACACATGTCTATATTTATTGGGTATATTTCTGACATAACACTCTGTTAAAACTAGAATAAAGTTAATTGTATGTTACAACCTGCATTTGCAATACATGTAGATGTCTGACTTGCCAAAAATTATTGAAGTTAAATCATTTTTTACCTTGAAGAATTTTCAGTGTCAGATAATCATTCTAACATATGTGATGAACCCAGTTATCTGAGACTTTTTATATGAAAATATTTTTGATAGCCTTCATTTATTGTCTCATTTTAGTATTGGATCATTTACAAAATTAGTTAAATCCAGATAGTATTTGCTAAGTTTGGATAGATTTATAAAAGTTTTTTTTTATAGAGTGTGTATCTTACTAACAATAAAAATGAATAAACATACAAGATTTCCTATTCAAAACTTTGAATTAGCTTCACCATGGTTTTAAACTGTGTATATTAGGTTTTATTGAACTACTCCCTTCAGTCAATAATGAATATAATATTTTAGCCCTGATTTAACATGTCTAGTCTGTTCAATTAATTATATTGAGTTTTAACCATTAAATGGAATTGCCATGCAATAGGTAGCTGAAGCTTTTGTAAATATAAGGATTATAAGATTTGGTGTTCCAGTCTGTTGTGACAGAGGAAATCAATTTGAAAGTGAGTTGTTTTTGAGCTAGCAAAAAGTGTTTGTTTTTATAGATTGAGAATAACTGTATAATGATTTAATAGGAAGAGAATACAGAACAATTAAAACTGCGATTATAGCTTATAGTCCTATTTCTCAGTATTAACAGTGGTACTCCTCAATATAAGGAAGCAGTATACCTAATGAATTAGGCTCTTCACTTTTTGGTGCTGTAAATGGTTCTTCATTATCTACCTATATTTCTTAGATGAGGTATTATGATTATTTACATTATTTCTGACTGTTATCCTCATCTTTGTTGCTGACCATTATGGGAACCAGTAATAAGGAGTGCTAGAGAAACGCAATGAATAACAACACAAAATTGCAATATGAGCTTTGGTAAAAAAATATGCAATAATAATAATAATGGAAAAATTGCAATATGAGCACTGGTAAAAACGGTTGTTGAGACATTAGGTTTATAAGTCCCAGAAATTCATACATAGATGTCCTCAAGGACAGGGCTCAGTGGCATTGGTTAGATCCAGTGACTAGACCCAAATAGTTGTGAGTTCAATACCAGGCTACATCAGGCTACAGCAGTGGTGAACCAAAGAAGTTGATCTCAGAAGTTGTTACTTTTCCACCAATCTGCATATTGTTTTTGGCACCTGACCTATGTTGAGACTGATCTGGAAGGATGTTCTGCCTATGCATCATGTTAGTTCTGTAATTTATAAGTTCAATGCTGATTATGTAGGTAGAATGAATCAGATGTTGGAGGCCCAGATCAACTAACATGTACCAACCAATATTCATAAGGGAAAGGTGGATAATTTACATAGGTGTGTTAATATATTAGGTTCAGCAATAGCTGAACATTTTATTAAAAATCAGTGTACCTGGTCTTTTAGCATAGACATGTTCTCAGTGCTGAGTAAGAGTAATACTGATTATCACTTGAAGGTCTTGGAATCATTGTACATTAAGTCCTACCAACCACCCCCTGTAAGCATAAGAGTGGTTGGTGGGCTTAAAGAAGTTGTCTGTGTAAATTATGAGAATTATTTATAGAAACAGATCTAATGAAATATCCTTCATTTTTATTAGTTTGCTGTAGGAAATATTTTCAAAACATTTCAGGTTATAATTTTTTTAATAAATTTACTCATTTTTTATAATCATAGAAAAATTATTAAATGTTATTAAAAATAAATTCTTGGAAATCAAATTTTCTGCAATGTTTCTAATCTCTATTTAGTAAATTTTTTTATAATGGTGACTTATTAAAAACAACTTTTTGCAAAAAGCTTTTGAATAAATATTCTTTATTTTACCATGTGGTTCCATAAAACAGTTGTAGGAACTATAAAGAATAATTCTGCCCCAGCATATGAAGACAGGCTGATGAAATTGCTATTGCTTCTTATCTGACAGGTGTATGGCACTCTTTAGCAAACCTGCTACATGGAGGGTTTTTAAGAGCTGTCATGTAACTGGAGAGCTTTATGTCATATTGGCACCAAATAGAAAAAAAAGAATTCTGTTTCTTTCTTGTTTACTCACACTGACATATTTGTTGCTGTGATTATCAGTTTACTGATTAAAAGTTATTAAATTACATGACCTTTTATCTAAATTTACTTATTAAATTAAATTCTGGGAATAAATGCCAGCAATTGACAAAGTATATTAATATATATTAAGTTCTCAGTTAGGTTTTTTCATTATTCTATATTAATATTGTTTTTATTTTTAATGCAATCTTTCACTGATGAATTCTTTAGTTTTCTTCAGGTATTTATTTAGGTACTTCCATGAGATTGCTAAAAAAGAGCATAGCATGATGAAAAAGACTCCAAACTTGACAAAAACAAAATTTTATCGTCTAAATGTTTGTTATTATTAAGAGGAAAGATCAAAGTATTTTTGGGGTATTTTGTTACATTTTTTAATCATTCCTAGCATGTTCAAAATTTTTGTTAAAAATCTTGTTTTTTTTTTTTTTTGAGTCAGCAAAATTGACAAATAATCAATCATG